TCGATACCATGAGCCTTAACTTTTCTCAAGCCTCTGATGCGGTACTCTGGCAAACGCTACCTCGAAGAGTTCTAAAAAACGTCAGCAGATTTGTTAGACAATCATATAAAATTGCCATCACAATCTTGAATGGCTGTACTATTAAAATATGTCTAATTATATCTTATTAGAGACTATACATCCTTCCCAAGGAAAACTAATGACTCGCTTTTTTGGTACACAGGCTTGGACGTCGTCCAATAGTGCTGGTGTGTGTGGTTATCAACATCCTGGCTGGCTTCTTGGTTGCTGCCTCGCCCACTGTCGAGGTTTATATTCTCCTTAAGCTCATTGTCTCCGCCACTGACGCCGGGACGTATCTTGGGATCTTCGTGTTTGGTATGTTTGTTTTCCAGATGGTTTCCTGAGGTAGGTGTTAATAGCAAGGTGTTGCATGATCCATATTTTGTGGCTCCTGAGACAGGTGATGAAAGTTCAAGTTTTGCAAACTCTGTCTGTCCTACTTCCTTGGCCAGACAGTGGTTGACAATAAGAGTGTTATGTAACTAATACTATCTATTTAGCATGGTGAGGACGTACTAAGGATGGTGTTGAAGCAGCTAATAATGTTAGGACCTACGATACATGTGGATCATTATATAATCGGTGACATGTATGTTGGATAAGTGAGTATGCTTCTGCTGCAAGAAGTACTTTGTGAGTAACGTGAGTGGTCAGCAGAGATAGATAGAGAGAGAGAGAGAGAGAGAGAGAGAGAGAGAGAGATATGTTAAATCACTGTAGGTGCGCGCGATCCCAAGCCCACCCATAACCATAAGAATCTCTTAGTATTACCATTTCACAAAATTTATCTCAAACTCCTTTACAACTAAACCTGGAACGTCAATGTGGCATTTAAAAACTCATGCACTGTTAAACAAATGTTAATCAAGAACTCCTCCAACAACACAATTGGTTGCATTTATAAGGTTCCTTGCAAGGAATGTAATATGTTTTACTTAGGCCAGACAAGTAAAGATCTTGTAATTAGACTTAAACAACATAAATATAGCGTTAGGACAGGCCAGGAATCCAATGCTCTGTTTGTTCATTTCAGGGATAATAAGCATTGCATTGACTGGGATAATGCCTCCTCAATATTTCCTTGTAATTCAATTGACAGTAGGAACATTATAGAATCTAGTCTCATTAAACATACCGAATCCGTCAACATGAATTTGAGTTAAGATATGTACAAACTGGACAATTTTGTAATTAAGAAGATTTGTAACCAGGTGAGAAGGTTGGGTCACCTTAGCCTCTGACCAGACTACCGACCGTTGCGGTGCCTTTTAAAGATTAGTAGGGTCATTATCTAATACATGACCATTGTGGACCTGACCTCACCCTCCTCTGTATATATATACCTTGTTTTGTACTTCTCCTTAGTCTGTACTCACCCTGAAGATGTGAATTACAGAGCGCTTGGGAACTTCGTGTTTCTTTCTTGTGGTTATCAGCATATATATATATATATAGAGAGAGAGAGAGAGAGAGTTTCTCAGAATAGTGTGCTGTGGGCCTGGCCAAATTTTCTTTTTAAGTTAGGTCAAGTTAGGTATGGTTAAGATATGTGTGGTTATGTTTGGTTAGGCTCAAACTACAGACCCACTTTCTTCACCCCGTCAGTTATGGGAACGTGCGCTACCAAATACCGAGCAGCAGTGGGTTTGCCTTGTAGAATACCGTGGGCCATAGGATACATGATAACCTGGTATAGCCTATCTGGTGCGTCCTTGGAGGTGGCTCCAGTTTGCCTACGTTGCCTTCCCTCTGCTGCATCATCTACTTCTGGTGAGTCTACTGCCCGCATCATTTACTTGTATTGAATGGGATACTGTCTGAGTTTTCCCATCCAAACGAGGGTAAAACAAGGATGGGTGCTGGCACCAACTCTCTTTTCATTTACTTGGCTTCCTTCCGTACATGTGCAGAGCCAATTTAGCCGGCAGGTGGACATCAAGTATCGGATGAAGAGACTTTCAACATAAGACGACTCAGGCAGAAACAAAAGTGTCGCCCTCTTCCATCACTGAACTTCAACATACAGACGACTTCAAACTAGTCGCTCACAATGAATGCGACCTACAGGAGATCCTGAACACCTACACATATGCGTATGCACACTTCGGCCTTAAGATAAATGTATGTGCGACTCAGATTCTCTTTCAGCCTGCCCTTGGTTCAGCCACACCTCCACCACCCATCAGAATAACGGTACTACCCTTTCTAATGTTACCCAGTTTCATTATCTAGGCTCCCAACTGCCCACCACTGCGCCATCGATGAAGAGATTTAGCATCGGAATTACTGGGCACCTCAAGCCTTCAGCGAACTCTGTACCCCTGTCTTCAGCTTAAGGAGCAAAAATTATCTACAAAGCTGCACATATATCGATCATGGTTTCTACCGATCACGTAGATTTTGTGCGCTGAGGTGTTGAACAGTAGACACGTAGTGTAATCTCCCTCACAGATGGTGTTATGAGGGCATCACGGTGTACTAATTCCTTACAGGTGGTGCTATGAGGGCCTCATGGTGTAGTAATTTCCTAAGATGGTGTCATGGGGGTCTAATGTGATGTAGTAATTCCCTCACAGATGGTGTTATGAGGCTCACATGATTGTGTCCCTCACAGATGGTGTTATGCGGAACCTAACATGATGCTGTAGAACTCATTCACTACGTGGTGTCGTAGCATCATGTGGACACCACGTGGTCTGGTGTCAGGGACTTCACTCACTCAGTGAGTGGTGTGGTCAGGCCCTAGCCCTATGGACAAATTACTCATAGCTGGTGTTGTTGAGTCTCACGGGCAGTTATCACTGGGTACCTAGGACCACACTGTGTGAAGGTTAGCTTGGGTACGACTCAGCTGTTACTGTCGAGTTGTTTTTCACTGACTTAGGCACTGTTCACCACTATTCAACACTGGTTCCATTCCTTTCGAAAAGGAAATAGTAACTTCTCGCGAGAATTGATATTCGGGTGGGGAGGAGGGTTCAGAGGGTTGGTATGGGCCATAATTAACCGCTGCTCCCAGAGCAGCGCCAGGTACGTCAAGGATAATGTTGTGTGTGTGTAATAATAAAATAATTAATAATAATTAACGGTTTATTGAAAGAGCTTGGCAGAAGGCTGAAAATATACAGTTACATATTTGGGGAATGGGTTACGAATTACAAATAATATACAAGTAACATGAGTGACACAAATAAGACATATAATAACTAGATGGGGAAAAGCTCAAACTACAGTTCATTTCAACATAGTGACAGTGCAAGGGTAGTGTTTACTGGGAATTGAATACACTGATTTATTACAAGTTATTGATAATTTTTACAATGGTTGGGACTGGGCTGTTCTTATAGCGATCAGTTCGTGCACGTATGGGCTGGATGCGGTTGTGGTGTCGAACAGCAATTCTGGACTAGGATCTCAGGTGGTAGTAGGGCCGGTGTCGGGGATGGTGTAGAAGCTTCTTATCAAATTTGCAGATGAGGTCGTGGTGATGGTCAGTGAGAGTCGAAAGGGTCAGTGTGTTGAGCGCTTCTGATATGTGGAGTAGGAAGGAGAATAATCTTGCATGCCCTCTTTTACTTTTTCAGGTGTTTACGTTGTGTGGCATTTAGGGAAGACCAGGTGGGGGAGGCATAGGTGAGCTTGGGAAGTATTGATGTTGTGTAAACACTGAGGGCTGTGCAGGAACTCCGAGGACTTGAGTCGGCGTAGGAGGTGGAGACAAACTGGAGGTTGATATTTCACTGACGTGTGGTTTCCAATTTCATTTGTTGTCTATGGTGACGCCGAGGAGCTTCGTGGAATCTACAACCTGGAGTGTGTTCGGACCTAGAGTAATGGAAGGAGGTGGGACAATGTCGGAGGTTGATGTGCATACCATGGTCTTGGTATGGTTGATGGTGACATGGTTGTTGGTGGCCCAGTTTTGGAGACTGTTCAATAAATCCTGAAGGGCGGTATAGTTAGGAGATTGTGTGACTCTGATCCCAATGGTGGAGTCGTCGACATATTTCCAGCGAGCAGGGGTTTCTCTTAGGGCATCATTGATGAGCATAAGGAGCAGAGTGGTCCATCTTGGTGCGGGACGCCACAGGTGAGTGACTGAAAGGTGGAGACAGCCCCTCGGAAGCGTACAGCTTGGCGTCGGTCACTGAGAAGTCTGTAAGCCATGGTATAAGACTTCTCCGAAGCCCGAGTCAATAGCTTTGTTGATGATTATATTGTGGTCGACTAGGTCGAACGCTTTAGTAATCAATGAAGGCGACAGCTACAGACGTTTTCGTTTCTCGAGATGGCGGTATATGTAATCGAAAGCTGACAAGACAGTGAGTGGTGGAGGAAGTTTTCATGTTGCCAAATTGCTGTGTGTGTGTGTGTGTGCTTTTGAACTAGGAATATTAAAACACTACCGCCTTCAGGCTGTTACCAAAGTCACCCCGGTGGTTGATTACTGAGGGTCGCTTTGAAGAAGCTCTGAAGATCATGACCAAGATCGCTAAGGTCAATCGGAAACCGCTACCTTCTGACCTCGTCCTCGCTGCTATGGAGAACATCGTTAAGCAGGTGAGACCAAGAACCATAGTGTTCGAGGAAACTAAACCCTGATGGGCTTAGTGTCCACTTGTCGCTCATTTTCTGTCTATTTATATTTCCATCTTTTGAATTAAACCTCAGAGGTGTCGTTTCCTCATCCACTTCTTATGTTTTATATAAGTCAATACTTTTGAACCTTTAGCTCTACTGGCTTCCTGTCTTATATTATCTTCTTCTGGTAAACTACCTACAAGTGAATTTTCCACACCCTGTGTTGCTATCCCGTGTTTTAGTCAGTATCTGCATCTATCAGTCTCAACATTATTTGTATTGCCGTCATCCTCAGAAACTTTGCTGATTTCCAGGGATCTCGGGAGGAGGAGGAAGACCAGACCGACAGAGGCCACCATCATGTCTCGCTTCCTGGCAGTCATAAAGCAGGTCGTCATCTTGCTGACTATACGCCAGCTTAGACTCAGAACCTTGGTCGTGTTCTTCTGTTGGTTCGCTGCATCCATGGTCTACTATGGTATCGCCCTCAATGCTACAAACCTCAGGTATGTCGTCTTCCTAAATTGTCATGATCTATTCTGTAATGCCGCCAATAATACACTAGCTGGATGGAAATGCAGAATCTTGTTTATGCCAGTGATAAAGCGTTGGTTCATTTGTTATTATCATTCCAACACATACCGTTTGACAATATGATTAAAGTACCTCCTCTCTTTTCTTATGGTTTCAGCAATGAGTCTTATGTCGAGAAATTTGATTCCAACAAGTGTCATTTTTTTCCTCACAGCACAGACACTTTCTACATTTGGTTCACCTTTTCAAATATGGCAGATCTGTCGTTACTGTTGTGATTTATTTGTTCCTGCTTCGATACAGAGACCGTATTTTGCCTATTAATTTCCTCTTTCTTTTTCAACGTAAGGCTAAACTCTGTAACTGTCGTCCAATCTATATATTTACTCGTCTTCCAGTACAAAAGACAACTTATCTCTTGTCGTTTCAAAAATGACTTCTGGTTTGGTTACACTATCATGGACACGAACTTTTGCCTTTATCATCAGACCTCTCGCTCATTCTCTACCAATAGTGGTGTTCCACAGAGTTCTGTTCTTTCACCTACTCTCATCCTTCTTTTATCATTGATTTACTTCAAATTACGACTAACTCTATCCATTCTTATGCTGATGACTCTACTACTCACTTTTCTTTATTTCCCCATCCCATTAATTCTCAAATTAGATCTGTTTCTAGAGCTGAAATCATTTCATCTATCAATACGGATCTGTGCAGCATCTCCGAATGGGGAGGTAAAACTTGGTTCAATTCAATAGTAATATAACTCAGTATTTACCAAACACACTTTCCAAATTAGATGATCTCCTACAATCACATTTCAGGACGCAATCATTCTGCCAAGTTTTAAAATGGATATGCTAGGTCTCACCATTTCTCTGATATGTCATGGAAGCCACATCCGCAACATTGCTAAAGCTACCGCCCTAAAGCTGGGAATGCTGTAAAGATGCCATAGCTACTTCACTCTGAGCAGTTGCTTCACGATTATAAGAATCATTCATTCGTCCTAACTTAGAGTACTTCTCATATCTGGGGTGGCGCTTCTTCTGTTCAACTGTTAGACAGCGTGGAATCAAAGGTATTTAGTCTTATTGACTCCCCTTCTTTAGTTGATAATCTTTCTTCTATTTCTCTTCGCCGCAATGTTGCTTCACTCTCTCTCTCTTTTACAGGTACTTAAACGGGCAATGTTCAGTGGATTTGGCATCCTGTGTACTGCCGGCAAGGCCGTAGGCTAGTAACACTCGTCTTGCCCGCGGTGCCCACAGTTTCTCTGTGGCTGTCAATCACACTAGAATAACCCGTTTTGTGCATCCTTCTTTCCTCACACAGCCAAACTGAGCAATGCTCTGCCCTATTCTTTGTTTCCATATTCAAACAATATGCCTCAGTTTAAAAAGCTGGTTTTCAGGTACCTTCATGGTGTAGATAAATATAATCTTTTTCCCTTTCTATTTTTAATTTCGTTTTACTCTTATTTTTTCGCCCCCTAGATCTCGTTGTGGGTTGATGACCTTTGCCCGGGTGAGCTATTCAACGTGAAAAAAAAACTGATTCTGTGTCCCACACCTGATCTCCCTAACACTGTCCCTGTTGCAACATTAAAACCAGCCTCTGATCGTACAGCTTCTTTAATGTTGATATTAATGTATTACTCCGCATCAACATCTTAGATCTTTAAGTCGTATCCAATTATAGTAAATACACCATTCACCAACACGTAAAAAAAAAAAAAAATAATCTTCATGTATTAAGTCAATGATCCACAACTCATGTACTCCTCTTTCAGCACCGATCCATACCTTTACATCTTCCTGGGAGGTCTATTGGAGGTGCCATCGTACCTGATCTTGTGGCCGGCACTCGTGTACATAGGGAGGAAGAAGTCCCTGGTGGCCCTCTATCTTATATGTGCCGTCTGTATCTTTGCCGTGATGGCAATAATCCTTATATATCCTGGAGGTGAGTCTGGTGTCCTGGTAAGTCTTCTCTCGCTTTCTTCATCTCTCTCATTTTTTGGGCCATCTTTATTCGCTCTACTTTTGATGATTTAGAATTTAAGTCGTGAGTTGGTATTTCTACTTCATAGGGACTGAGTATGGTATTATTATTATTATTATTATTATTATTATTATTATTATTATTATTATTAAAGTTATTATTATTATTATTATTATTATTATTATTATTATTATTATCATTATTATTATTATTATTAAAATAATAATTATTATTATTATTATTATTATTATTATTATTATTATTATTATTAATATTAAAATAATTATTATTATTATTATTATTATTATTATTAACACATTCTCGACTCCCCCACTAGGAGAGCAGGTGGCCAAGGTCTTCTTCTCACAGAGCGGTAAGGTGGCGGTAACAGCGGCCTTTCAATTAGTGTGGATGTACACGGCAGAGCTCTTCCCTACCAAGTACCGTTCATTAGCTGTGGGGGAAGCTAGCTTCTGCGCACGCGTCGGCAGTACTTCGTCACCGTATATTAACGATATTCTGGTGAGAGACATTTGTGTGGGTATTTGTGTTGGTGTTGTGGATGGTGAAGTTTATGAGTTTAGGAAGTTTTAGCTTTGGGGTTTGTTTGTTTGTTGTTTTATAATAATAATAATAATAATAATAATAATAATAATAATAATAATGTATTGTGGACTCAGCAATATAAACATACACGCTGTATTCACAGTTTGTCTTGTGTTGCAGGGAGGTTACACCGTGTGGGCACCGGCGGCGCTATTCGGGACAGTCTCTCTTATCTCCGCGGTGCTGTCACTCTTCCTGCCAGAGACAAGACACTGCACTCTACCGGAATCCAACGATTTTTTCTCCAAGAAGAAGGACAAGGAGGCAGACAGAGGAGGAAGCAAGGAAACATCCCTGGAGGATGTGAGTCAGGGGGTGGTCAACCTGTCATACAACCCAGAGACGGGCCAACCGGGGACGGAGAGATTATAATGAGAATAATGTACACCCATCTTGTGATAGCAAGATGATGACTATCTTTAAACCTCCGTGACGGATAACCGGAGGGGGAGAGAGCACAGGACTATATCCTATAACATTATACTGGGCCTCAAGACCCACGGACAACAAGGACATAAGGATACTCTCCTCCACAACAAACTTTCAAGACTCTGGAATTCACGGCCAATTTTAGTACTAATTTAGTAACTTTTAGATAATAACGTCATTGTTAACGAACACAACAACACATCGTTTTACCAGCTGTTTGTTAAGCATAATAACATTACTTGAGTCTACGTATCGAGCACCTGCAGAAGATATTAACAAAATAACATCTACCAAACAATTTATCTCCCCAAAAACTCAAGACAATGTCCTCAGCGTCTCTTCATATTTACAGTAAACAAATAGGTATATCACTTTTAGAAACATAGGTCGAAGAAACCGAGTCGTGTCAGCTGTCACCTCGACGTGAAAACTCAACATAAAACTATTGCTAACAACGACCATGCCATATATCGATGATAGGATCCTTTTTTTCTATTACTATATCTGTATCATTTTGAGTTTTTGGAAAATTCCAAGATATGCAACATTCCACGGTGGTTTTGAGTGCGGCTGTAAGTTAAAAAGGACTCCATTAAGCTATCTGTGAGAAACACATCTTCGTGGACAGACGGGCAGTGTCTATTTGTATATCCTTCAACAGAACGTCTATTTTAGCCAGTAAACCACGGGGCATGGTATGTCTGTTTTAATATACAGTAAGTATTGTACATCAAATATGCTTATAATCAATATATATATATATATATATATATATATATATATATATATATATATATATATATATATATATATATATATATATATATATATATATACTGATAACCACAAGGAAACAAGAAAATCACAAAGTTCACAAACGCTTTTTTTATTAAGAAGATTAGTAAGGGTCACTGCCTTATGACGGGAACATTGAGGACACCTGCTGTCCCCTAGGGACTTGATCTCACTCTCCTCTACTGTATATATTAGCCTTGTCAAGTATTTCTCCTTAGTCTGTACTCACCCCTGAAGATGTGAATTACACGAAAGCACTTGGGAACCTCGTGTTTTCTTGTTTCCTTGTGGTTATCAGCACATACTTCGATCACGCGCATCTACAGTGATTTACTTGCATATATATATATATATATATATATATATATATATATATATATATATATATATATATATATATATATATATCTTGATAAAATCACACGGGAAAATGGAAACAACACACCAACACAACCGTGAGGGAGCTTAAGAAGAGAATTGGTGACGTGACTAGACAGGTGGGTCAGAAAAAAGGACCCACAAAATAACTGTCATACAAGATAAAAAAGGTTTTTCAAAAACGAGGTTTTAACCTTGGGCCACTGACTTCGATAATTTATGTAACATATTATCAGTTTTGAACTGACCATCACTAAGACATTGATTTTTAATTCATAATCAAAACTAGCTTCAACCAGAATCTTTCTGTGACACAAGATGATTTGAATATTTCTAAGCTTTTTTCCCCCAAGCAATGGGGTGATTATTATTCTAACATGAACGAACAAGGCACTGCTTTCCAGATGCAGTTCTGATGTGCTCTTATGTTGTTTTGATTCTGAGCTGCAGTGTTTTTCCTGTCCTGACCTACATAATTACAATTACATTGGCTTACATGGAATACAATAAACACTTCCATTTACATTCAAACTTGGGCTATTCATATTAACATATTGGTAATGGTTGAGTCATACTTGAAAATAACATTAATATTTAGAAGCTTGAGGGACCGAACTAAAGGGATAAATTCATCACACGATGGGGCAGAGTCAAATATTCTTAAGTGTAGGAACTTGTCTGGTTGAGAGGAATGAAAAGGTTTTAGCCCTTTTAAAAGCAACGATCAACAAACACAGAAGAATTTGCCCAAGTTTCTGTGCAATAGAACGAATGTGTTTAAATTCGTCGTCCAATAAATTCAGAGTCACAAATACGCAGACATCGTAGGAACATAGCAGAAAAAACTGACATTTGGTAGACTCAAGGTGATTGGATAAAAAGTGAATGAAACTGTCTACCTGTGTGGGCTTTTCTATATACCTTAAATTTATAGTTTTGGCCATTTCTCATGATAAGCATATCAAGAAATGGAAGGTTCACTGTTTCTCTTTCAATTTTGAATGTGATACTAGGGACAATATTATTAAGCTTGTCTAAAAATTCCAAAGGGTCACTGTTT